GCCACGACATAGACGAGCCGAGCGCGTAGAAGAGCAGCCTAGGCCGGCAGGTCGAGACCAGGCGCAGCCGAAGACTCCGCTACCCCAACAAAGACAAATCCAAGAAGAGGTAGAAAGGCTTTTCAATGAACGGATGCGTGATTTCCGACGCAACGAAATGGTTGACGAAACACTAAGGCGAGATATGTCCAACATAAGTAGGTCACCTTTCACGGACGAAATCGAGCAGGCAGAGCCTTCGCGCAAGTTCAACATGCCACACTTCACATCTTTCAAAAGAGACGAGGGTCCCGAAAGACACTTGAAACATTACCGAAGTGCGATGGTCCTCTATCGGAATAATGATGCCCTTATGTGCAAAATATTCGCCACTACTTTACAAGGCGAGGCACAAGATTGGTTTCATACCTTGCCGGCACGATCCATCCAGAATTTTGATGATCTTTCCTTGGTTTTCACCAAAGAATATTCATCTTATCGTTCGATCAAGAAAAAGTCCGATCACTTGTTCAACGTAAAGAAAAACCCAAAAGAGTCACTTCGCGATTACGTGAAGAGATTCAAAGCAGAGAAGGCGAAGAACGTCGGATGCGATAACTCGATTGCAAGTGCAGCTTTCCAAAAAGGACTACCAGCAGATCACCCACTGTTTGGAGAAATGATCATGAAAGAAGACCTAACTCTGGCAGATTCCTTTGCTCTAGCAGAGAAGCATGCACTTTGGGACGAAGCTCGACAAGCAGAAAAGGTTCCCAAACAGCCTAGAAAAGAGTTGGCATCTACTCAAAAGAAGGAGGATGGAAAGCAACCCAGCAAGGGCAGGCAGGAGGTCAAGCGCAAGGACCGACCCACGACCAAAGAAGGCCTGATAACCAATAACTATTCAAAATTCTCAATTCCGATTCATCAAATCCTTCGTGACATCAAGAATGAGCCATGGTTCAAGTTGCCGAAACAGTCAAAAGGAGATACTTCTAAGTTGGACCACACCAAATATTGCGCATTCCACCGAGGTCCTAGGCACACAACCAACGACTGCTATACTTGGAAGAACTACCTAGAGAAACTCGTGAAAGAAGGGAAAGTCAATAGATATTTGGACAAGCCAGCTGAGCAGCCAAAAAAGGAATGCAGACGGAGATGATGAGCCACCAACTAAGATGATTCGAATCAATGGCATTTTCGCTGAATCCGAGCACTTGGAGGCCACTAATAACTCCAAAAAGAGGAAGATCCAGCAGGCTTTACTAATTTCACAAGTTCAAGCAGTTGATACCCAACATGGACCTATCATTGGCTTCACAGAGCAGGATGCGGAAGGAGTCGACTTCCCACACGATGATGCATTAGTAGTATCTGTCCAACTAGCCCATGCTATAGTCGACAGGATGATGGTTGACAATGGAAGTGCAGTCAACCTACTTCAACTTTCGGTCATTCAAAAGATGGGCCTATAAAGTACAATCATACGCCGGGCAGAGGTACTTACTGGATTCAACGGACACACCTCAACTGCCATCGGTCATATCACACTTGATGTAAAAACACCGCCAGTCGTCTCAAAGCAAACATTTACGATCGTAAGCGACCGGTCTCCCTACAATGGGATTCTTGGGAGACTTTGGTTGATCAAGCTGGATGCCGTCACTTCCGTCAAGTATAAAAAAATCTGATTTCGCATCCCGGGAGGAGGAGTCAAAGAGATCAAGTCTGACCAGGTTTCATCCCGACGATGCACTGTGCAAATGTTGAAAGAATCAAAGAAGAAGACCTTTACCCCCGTAGAGGTTACCGAAGTCCATAAGGACAAAGAAGTTACCAAATAGCAATTACAGCAGGAGGACCGAGAAGATGGCACCCAACAACAACAACAACAACAACAAAGCCTTTTCCCACTAAGTGGGGTCGGCTATATGAATCCTAGAACGCCATTGCGCTCGGTTTTGTGTCATGTCCTCCGTTAGATCCAAGTACTTAAGTTCTTTTCTTAGAGTCTCTTCCAAAGTTTTCCTAGGTCTTCCTTACCATTCGGCCCTGAACCTCTGTCCCGTAGTCACTCTTCGAACCGGAGCGTCAGTCGGCCTTCTTTGCACATGTCCAAATCACCGGAACCGATTTTCTCTCATCTTTCCTTCAATTTCGGCTACTCCTACTTTACCTCGGATATCCTCATTCTCAATCTTATCCTTTCTCGTGTGCCCACACATCCAACGAAGCATCCTCATCTCTGCTACACCCTTTTTGTGTACGTGTTGATGTTCACCGCCCAACATTCTGTGCCATACAACATCGCTGGCCTTTATTGCCGTCTTATAAATTTTCCCTTGAGCTTCAGTGGCCTACGACGGTCACACACATGCTGGATGCACTCTTACACTTCAATCCATCCAGCTCGTATTTATGGTTAGATCTCCTCTAATTCTCCGTTCTCTTGTAGATGATCCTAGGTACGAAAACGTCGCTTTTTTGTGATCTTCGCTAAATTGCTTCCGGTCATTAGTGTGGATAAGTATATAAATGGATAGAGATAGGAAAGCAAACACAAATGTACGTGGTTTCACCCAGTTGGCTATGTCCACGGGTAGAAGAGTTCTCATTAATTGTGAAGGGTTTACACAAGTACATAGGTTAAGCTCTCCTTTAGTGAGTACAAGTTAATGATTTAGTACAAATGACATTAGAGTACAAATATTAGGAAATATTATGGGAGAATGATCTTATCACGAAACTTCTAAGTATCGGAGTGTGGTATCATCTTGATTGCTTTATCTGTCTCATTAGGTAGATGTGGCAGCTTCTCTGGAATACTCTTCCTCCATTCCAGGGGTGGTATCTTTAACTGGTGGAGATGCACAAGTAATGTATCAATTTCACTTGAAGCTTACTTGTAGTTTCAGGCTTGGCAAGCGCGATACAAACCATGTAGTAGGAGTCCCCCAAGTCGCCGACTAGGGATGCTGAAAGAGGTGACAGACAAGGTAAGCAATCAGAGCTCCGGCTGATTGTTCACTTCTCCCCATCTTCAGCAGCATGAAGGATAAAGAGAAAAAAATGAGAAGAGATGATATGGGTATACTTTTGCTTTTGAAGAAGTAACTTTCCACAGGCTTATTCTTGAACTGAGCTGGAGGGTTTTCTGGTTTCCTCCAGAGTAAGGCGACTGAAGAATTTGAGGGTCAACAAGTCCATCAAATCTAGAGTACGTTCGACCTTGCTGATATGGGATACTTTTGCTTTTGACAAAGTTAATGATGGACGGCAGTGGCTGTTACGCTTGTCTCCACATGCTTCCTTGTATCTTCTGCCCTATCTGTTCCTCAAGCAGATGCTGTACTTCCTGGCAACATAAGATGTTGAAGATGAGTACTCGAGAGCAATGCCAGGTAATAATCAGGTAGGGGTCCAGGCTGTCAGTTCCTGGCTGGAGCTTGATTTCAGTGCTACTGATTGTCTCTTTCTCCTTGTCTTGCAGGTAAAAACAAGGCCAAAGGAAAAACAGGAAAAGCATGATATGGGAATACNCCGATGAACTAGGGGTTTTCTTCTAAAAGCCTTCTGATGACAACCTTTTCCCCAGCCATGAAACATATACGTTGGCTTTCGGACGAAGAACCCGAAGAACCCCCATCTTATTCCAAGCAGAACGGAGAACCTCATTCACCATAATTTGGGATGGTTCATGGTTAGCAATGAGTCTACCCACAAGATGTATGGTGTTATCAAACCTTTCACCAGGGTTAAGACTATCCTCAAGGGTAATGTTCAAGCAATCAAGTTCTTCCTCTTCCACACTCATGATGAAACATAGGAGAAGCTTGATAACATGCCCGACCCTGATATCTTCTAAACACCAGGGTAGACACGTGCTGGCTGACACCTGAAAATGACGAAGCCATATTAACATGCATGAGAACAATGAAGAAAGAACAAACATAAATAAAACTTGTAAATTTAACTATAATGAATAAGCAATTGTGGAACGTGTTCAGAGTATACAGCTAAACCAGAACATTGAAGAATGAATAATATACAAATGTACGAACAAAGAAATGGGTCCTACACTGAGAGGACTATGCTACCGATGCGGGAGTGCCTTGACGCTGGGATTGTACGTCTCGATTCTAAGCCCTGAGGGAGCGCAAAACAAAACATGAGTGTACCAAGTTTATACTAAAACAGTTATTCTTCAACGTACTAACCCCCAGTTTAGAAAACTCAATATAGCATAATAAGTAATAGGTTTTTCGAAAACTCTAGCATGCCATAAAACATTTCATAAAACATATGTCATATATAATGTTCTTAGTAATGTTATCATAATCGACTGAAGCCACTGCATCACCTGATCGAAGCCAAATATAATATCTTCCGACCGAAGCCACTATATCACCCGATCGAAGCCAAATATAAGTATTAATTGCATGTAGGCTCATAGTATGGATAACCACTAAGTAGGCACATAAAATTATGAACATAATATTTCTAAAATATATGTCTCATCGGAGCTCAATAGCTCAAACATCATATCATAAATATCTCAGTAAACAGTTATTTGATAAAGCATGATAATTCATAAAGCGAAAATCCGATTTACTCATAAACGTTTCATAAAACGTAGTCATAAAATCATGCTTTTCATGTATATATTTCTAGTAATAAAATCATGCATTTTGGAAGGGATCCACTCACCTTACTCTATCGTCAAAGAGCCGTGCAAACTAGAGAAGACGGAAACACCACTAACAAACACACCTAAGCACATAAAGGGTCCAATTAATAAAACTATACTATAATGATTGAATTTGGAAAAACGGAGTGCGGATTTGGAATCAGGACGTCGAAATTAGTCAAGGAGGGGTCCCGGCCGAAACTTGAAAAAGTCAACTCAAAGGTCAACGGTCAATGGTTAAGGTCAATGGGAAAACTTGGAAACTCGCCTGAAACTAGGTAAACTTTAAATGTTCATAACTTCTTCAATATTCAACGAAATCGAGTGATTTAAAAAAAAATCATAGTTCTCGACGAGACGAAGACAATGATACCTTGCACGATGGCTAACTCATCGTGATTTGACTGAAAAATGCCTCGAAATTGGTGGACATCGTCGAAAAACTGGGGAAAGCTTATTCCAAGTTATTTCAACGTCCAACGAGCTTAAACAACTTAAAACAAGCTTCGATCTAACCTTGAAACACATCCCAAGAGTTTCTAGGAACTTACCAACGTCGAAAAATCCACAAACTACATTGGAGCTCGCCGGGGAAGGAAATGAACAGTGACACTGTTATTGTGGAGTTCCATCGCATGTGGTCTGGGGTTCTCGAGGTTTCCTCGTCCAGTTTGAAAGTATGTGGTTGTTGTTGTTGAGCTCGAGGATGAGGATGAGGAGTTGCAGAGGAAAGAGGACTCTTGAGGCTAAGAGAAGTGGGAGAGAAAGGTGAGGGAAGAGAGAGGGAATGTACACTGGAAGGAAAAGGGAGAGAAGGAGAGGAAGTGAGCTGGGGAACCAAAAAGGAGGGTGGGCTCCACTAGGCACACCAAATAAGACCAAAAGCAACATTTCAAAATATCTCCCAACCAAAATGAAATTACAAAACTACCATTCTGATTCGTAAAATCCGGGATAGGTTGTTACACTTCCACTTAGCCTAAGAATCGAAATAACTTTTGCTTACAGCTCAACTTGGAGACAGATCCAAGAAGGATACCAAATCAACACATAGGCCGCAATAAATTAATCCCAAGAGTTACGGGAAGATGCCGTGAAACCCCATCCTAGATTTCCACACCATAGGCCAACACTAATGTTACTACGCCAAAAATTAACCACTTTGATAAGAAAGGACAATGCTACTTGAATAATATTTGAGATGATTGGTGAATCTAATGAATATAGAGGAGGGATTGGCACAACCATTTTCTCATTGGCAAGAAAATGAGAGAAATAGATGAAAAAAACTAGTGTGAATAGCCATCATTCGACCTACTCTTACTCCTGCTTCTAAGTTGGACCAAAAACTTAATTTGGAGTTTTTAACTTATGATACCAACAAGGTGTCTGTGATTAATTTGTTTTTTTTTTTTGTCGAAGTTGTGTGATTAATGTAAGACACCGCCACTTTGAGTTCTCGTTTCACGCTATTCCTCCTAACACATACCCTAAATGTATTTTCACAAAACTTTGTATCATTAGCTTGGAATGCTAATGCGGCATCCAAGGAGCTAGGGAAATCTCTCTCCTACATGTGATGCATATAACTCGGAGATTGATGCAACGGAAACAAGTTTTTCGCCTCGTAATACTTGCCTAGACACATTTTTCAGCAGTCATAAAATTTATAAACTAAGTGTCACAGACATGTTGAGTTGCTATTCACGTGTTATAATATTATGTGTTCAATTCTGATAGAACTGAGCCAAGAAAAGAATTACTACATGAAAATTATAATCAGAACAGCTTCCATTACCTGTAGCGATTACATTACAACAAGGGTTTCTACCTGACATAATCTCAAACTCACTGCATAGCCAGGTGGAATACAAAATTCCACAAAAAATAGGCAACCTAACTAGAACTAGAACTAATGATTGTCCTACAAAAATAGAACCTCCGGACAAAGCATTCACTGGGCAGCTCAGTCCTCACTAATACAAGTCCCACATGATGTCGGGAACAAAATCCGGTGAAAGGTTAAGCCTCCTAGTACTCGTGTAGTTTGGTGAACCAAATACAATACAGTAGCACAAAATGTCGGACTGTTCAACTGACAGCCTTTTAATGGTGTTTACTGCGATTTTCCTCCACAATTCTCTGAAACTCTTTTTGGCTGGTGGAAATGAGACGCTTGACCATGTCGTAAGTAGTGAGCCTAATGCTGCAGTTGAAAGAAGGAGATTTCATCAGCTAATACAGTACGAGGCTTGAAGCACCGATAGATCCCCAAGCATGGAACAATTATCAAAATTGAGCTTAGGAATGAGATCATTCGACATATACTTTTAACATAATGCAAGAGGGAAAAAATAGACAGGGTGTGCATGGAACCTGCTGTTCGGTAAAGTTTTCAAAGCATTAGGCAAGAAACCCCTATATAAGCCTACAAGTCCATCACGCTCCACAATACCTGCACAAGAAACATCAACTCAGATCAAAGACTTTGACTATGGACCTAAAAATGTAACTTCATTACAAACAGAGACAGAAGCAAAGAACAAGATAATAAAATTTTCCTATATACTATAACTTGAGTCCAACACACACATACAAACCCGTTAATAAGATACAACAACAACAACAACAACAAAGCCTTTTCCCACTAAGTGGGGTCGGCTATATGAATCCTAGAACGCCATTGCGCTCGGTTTTGTGTCATGTCCTCCGTTAGATCCAAGTACTCTAAGCCTTTTCTTAGAGTCTCTTCCAAAGTTTTCCTAGGTCTTCCTCTACCCCTTCGGCCCTGAACCTCTGTCCCGTAGTCACATCTTCGAACCGGAGCGTCAGTCGGCCTTCTTTGCACATGTCCAAATCACCGGAACCGATTTTCTCTCATCTTTCCTTCAATTTCGGCTACTCCTACTTTACCTCGGATATCCTCATTCTCAATCTTATCCTTTCTCGTGTGCCCACACATCCCACGAAGCATCCTCATCTCTGCTACACCCATTTTGTGTACGTGTTGATGTTTCACCGCCCAACATTCTGTGCCATACAACATCGCTGGCCTTATTGCCGTCTTATAAAATTTTTCCCTTGAGCTTCAGTGGCCTACGACGGTCACACAACATGCTGGATGCACTCTTACACTTCATCCATCCAGCTCGTATTCTATGGTTGAGATCTCCATCTAATTCTCCGTTCTCTTGTAAGATAGATCCTAGGTAGCGAAAACGGTCGCTTTTTGTGATCTTCGCTAAATTGCTCCGGTCATTAGTGTGGATAAGTATATAAATGGATAGAGATAGGAAAAGCAAACACAAGATGTATGTGGTTCACCCAGATTGGCTACGTCCACGGAATAGAAGAGTTCTCATTAATTGTGAAGGGTTTACACAAGTACATAGGTTCAAGCTCTCCTTTAGTGAGTACAAGTGAAATGATTTAGTACAAATGACATTAGAGTACAAATGACATTAGGAAATATTGTGGGAGAAGGATCTCGTAATCACGAAACTTCTAAGTATCGGAGTGTGGTATCATCTTGACTTGCCTTATCTGTCTCATAGGTAGATGTGGCAGCTTCTCTGGAAGTACTCTTCCTCCATCCAGGGGTGGTATCTATAACTGGTGGAGATGCACAAGGTAATGTATCAATGTCACTTGAAGCTTACTTGTAGTTTCAGGCTTGGTCAAGCGCGATACAAACCATGTAGTAGGAGTCCCCCAAGTCGCCGAGCTAGGGGATTTGCTGAAAGAGGTGACAGACAAGGTAAGCAATCAGAGCTCCGGCTGATTGTTCACCTTCTCCCCATCTTGCAGCAGCATGAAGGATAAAGAGAAGAAAAATGAGAAGAGATGATATGGGATACTTTTGCTTTTGAAGAAGTAACTTTCCACAGGCTTATTCTTGAACTGAGCTGGAGGGTTTTTCTGGTTTCCTCCAGAGTATAAGGCTGACTGAAGAATTTGAGGGTCAAAACAAGTCCATCAAATCTAGAGTACGTTCGACCCTGCTGATATGGGATACTTTTGCTTTTGACAGAGTAATGGATGGATCGGCACGTGTGCTGTTACGCTTGTCTCCACATGCTTCCTTGTATCCTTCGCACTTGCCCTATCTGTTCCTCAAGCAGATGCGGTATCTTCCCTGGCAACATAAGATGTTGAAGATGAGTACTCGAGAGCAATGCCAGGTAAGTAATCAGGTAAGGGGTTCCAGGCTGTCAGTTCCTGGCTGGGAGCTTGATTTCAAGTGCTGACTGATTGCTCTCTTTCTCCTTGTCTTGCAGGTAAAAACAAGGCCAAAGGAAAAGACAGGGAAAAAGCATGATATGGGATACTCTTGCTTTTAACCCTGATGATATGAGATATTCTTGCTCTAGTATAGCTTGTTTGCAGAGGTATTATCGGGGGGAAAGAAAGCTGAATATTTCGAAAGGCTTCGTTGGGAGTGCCCTCTCAGATATGAGGAAGGGTTGAGCATTTTTGCAGGTCTGCCTGTCCGTTGGGGATGGAGGTCGACATATATAGGAGTCTCCCTAACAACAAGTAGTAATGCTATTCCTTTACCCTACTTGGTCATAGCACGGTAGTGGGAGCTGCCAGCTTCACATGTTTTAACTCTGTCAGAGCACTTTGAAAAAAGTGGTATGTGGTATCTGGCTCTCGAGATTCGGAGAACGATGCTTCTTCGATTTTTGAGAAAGCAATCATGGTGGGGGTCTGGCTCTCGAGATTCGGGGAGCAGTGTCTCTTCGATTTTTGAGAGAGTAATCATGTTGGGAGTCTGGCTCTCGAGATTCGGAAGGCGGTGCCTCTTCAATTTTGGAGTAAGCAATCTTGTTGGGAGTGTTTTTCTCGGATGTGAGTAAAGGTTGGGCATGTTTGCTAGTCTACCTTGCCACGAAGCACGGAGGTTGACACACAGGGACTTTCCAATTATCCAGCAGTGGTACTGTTCCTTTACCCTTGTGGGTAATAATATGGTAGCTAGACCTTCAAAATTTATGTGTCTAAACTTTGTTAGTGCTGTTTCTTTGCTATTCTTTTACCTTTCTTGGTCAGAGCGATGTAGTGGGAGCTGCAAGCTTCACGTGCTCAACTTTGGCAGAGACTTTGACAAAGTTATCTGTGGTACCCATGAGCTATTGTTGCGTGTGGGAAGTGGGTGATTGAACAGTAAGATTCATGTGCTTTCTACTTCACCAGAAGTCTTCGACAGAATGCCCATAATTTCCGCAAAGCTGAGTGTGCATGTGACAGGTGCTGACAAGGCTAGAAAAGAAGGTGCCTCTTCGATTTCTGAGATCAGCCCTCGTGGTCTCTGAGCAGCCCAGCTTTTGAGAAAGCGAGCGCCTCTTCGATTGATTCGAAGAACGATGCCTCTTCGATTTTTGAGAAAGCAATCATGCTGGGGGTCTGGCTCTCGAGATTCGGGGAGGAGTGTCTCTTCGATTTTTGAGAAAGTAATCATGTTGGGAGTCTGGCTCTCGAGATTCGGAGGGCGGTGCCTCTTCGATTTTGGAGCAAGCAATCTTGTTGAGAGTGTTTTCTCGAATGTGAGTAAAGGTTGGGCATGTTTGCTAGTCTACCTTGCCACGAAGCACAAATGTTGACACACAGGGACTTTCCAATTATCCAGCAATGGTACTGTTCCTTTACCCTCTCTTCGATTTTTGAGAAAGTAGTCATGTTGGGAGTCTGGCTCTCGAGATTCGGAGGACGGTGCCTCTTCGATTTTGGAGCAAGCAATCTTATTGGGAGTGTTTTCTCGAATGTGAGTAAAGGTTGGGCATGTTTGCTAGTCTACCTTGCCACGAGGCACAGAGGTTGACACACAGGAACTTTCCAATTATCCAACAGTGGTACTGTTCCTTTACCCTTGTGGGTAATAATATGGTAGCTAGACCTTCAAAATTTATGGGTCTAAACTTTGTTAGTGCTGTTTCTTTGCTATTCTTTTACCCTTCTTGGTCAGAGCGATGTAGTGAGAGCTGCAAGCTTCACGTGCTCAACTTTGGCAGAGAACTTTGGCAAAGTTATCTGTGGTACCCATGAGCTATTGCTGCGTGTGGGAAGTGGGTGATTGGACAGTAAGATTCATGTGTTTTCTACTTCCCCAGAAGTCTTCGACAGAATACCCATAATTTCCGCAAAGCTGAGTGTGAGTGTGACAGGTGCTGACAAGGCTGGAAAAGTAGGTGCCTCTTCGATTTCTGAGATCGGCCCTCGTGGTCTCTGAGGAGCCCAGCTTTTGAGGAAGCGAGCGCCTCTTCGATTTCTGAGATCGGCTTTCGTGGTCTTTGAGCAGCCCAACTTTTGAGAAAGCAAACACCTCTTCGATTTATGAGATCAACCCTCGTGGTCTCTAAGCAGCCCAGCTTTTGAGAAAGCAAACGCCTCTTCGATTTCTGAGCAGGCGCCTCTTCGATGTCTGAAGCTCCGTCGAGTGCAGCTTTTTACAGGGGCTGGCATTAAGTTCCAAAGCACACTTGAATCTCCACCAGTAGAAGCTCCATTCTTGCACTTCTAAGATCTTGATTTGTCCGACCTCTTCTCTCTTCAATACCTTTTGAAAATGTCTGGCCCCTCCGACCGTCGTTTTGACTTGAACCTTGTTGAAGAGGCAGCCCCGCCTTCTCCAGACAACATATGGCGCCCATCCTTCGTCTCCCCTACTGGTCCTCTTACCGTTGGGGATTCCGTGATGAAGAATGATATGACCGCTGCGGTGGTGGCCAGGCCAGGAACCTTCTCACTCCCAAAGATAACAGACTACTTTCCAAACGGTCTGATGAGTTAGCTGTTAAGGATTCACTGGCTCTCAGTGTTCAGTGTGCAGGTTCTGTGTCTAATATGGCCCAACGCCTATTTGCTCGAACCCGCCAAGTTGAATCATTGGCGGCCGAAGTGATGAGTCTCAAACAGGAGATTAGAGGGCTCAAGCATGAGAATAAACAGTTGCACCGGCTCGCACATGACTATGCTACAAACATGAAGAGGAAGCTTGACCAGATGAAGGAAACTGATGGTCAGGTTTTACTTGATCATCAGAGATTTGTGGGTTTGTTCCAAAGGCATTTATTGCCTTCGTCTTCTGGGGCTGTACCGCGTAATGAAGCTCCAAATGATCAACCTCTGATGCCTCCTCCTTCTAGGGTTCTGTCCAGTACTGAGGCTCCGAATGATCCCCCTCCGATGCCTTCTCTTTCTAGGGCTCTACCGACTGCTGAGACTTCTCCTAAGCAACCTTTGTGAAGGCTCCATCTTGTTTGTTTATTTTGACTCATGTATATGTACATATTTGTAGCTTATCGGGGATATCAATAAATAAGTTTTTCTTCATTTCAACGTATTGTGTTAGATACACCAAAGCCTTCTTCGCTAAGTTCTTTGAATTTTCTTTTGTTGAAGCTTGTATGTTGAAGCTTTCTGAGTGGAGCATGTAGGTTGGGGTAGTGTTCCCTTAATTTTTCGAGTGAGGAAAACTTCTCGGTTGGAGACTTGGAAAATCCAAGTCACTGAGTGGGATCGGCTATATGAATCTTAGAACGCCATTGTGCTCGGTCCTGTGTCATGTCCTTCGTTAGATCCAAGTACTCTAAGTCTTTTCTTAGAGTCTCTTCCAAAGTTTTCCTAGGTCTTCCTCTACCCCTTCGGCCCTGAACCTCTGTCCCATAGTCGCATCTTCTAATCGGAGCGTCAGTAGGCCTTCTTTGCACATGTCCAAACCACCGTAACCGATTTTCTCTCATCTTTCCTTCAATTTCGGCTACTCCTACTTTATCCCGGATATCCTCATTCCTAATCTTATCCTTTCTCGTGTGCCCACACATCCAACGAAGCATCCTCATCTCCGCTACACCCATTTTATGTACGTGTTGATGCTTCACCGCCCAACATTCTGTGCCATACAGCATCGCCGGCCTTATTGCCGTCCTATAAAATTTTCCCTTGAGTGCCAGATGGTAAAAATATTTAACATCATGGTTTTACCTGGAATGGCATCCAAAACCGTCTTGTAAGGTGTGCCCTTCATTTGCATCTGTCTTCTCACAGTATCTAAAGGATAACATGTGAGTGTGGCAAGGGAAGCTGACACCAAACCCGTTAATAGAGATGCTTCAGCTTTCTTTTGAAAATCTTCTGGTAGAGACTTCTTCACCCTGCAATCCAAAGACAACTATAACAAACATAGAATACATTATTGTATTATCCTTATTGTGACAAAGAATGAGGTACGAGTGGACTCACAAGTCAAAAATGCAAAAGTTCACAGCAATATATGGAGCAATTCCGATCAGAGAAGGTCCGAGACCATAGTAGAAGGATGCAACTCCTTCCTCTTTTAGCATGTTTAAGGCAATCTGGAAACAACACTTCGAAATTCTTCTTTCATGAAGATAATGGCAGCTATTCATAAATAACACTATCAGGTCAGTCATACCTCAGACATAGTTCGGTACCCTGGTTCAACTGCTAGGCGCAACCTCAGAACATCCAATGGGTAGGTTACCTACAAGGAGGAAAATAGTACATCTTTGAATAGTTCGACATAACAGGTAACGAAAAAAGGTAGATAAAAAAACCACAATATTAAAGTCTACCCATAGAGTAGACTTTAGAAGTAAAATACAAGGTTTACATGTTCCATGGAGTACTACCCTGACTAACAGGTTTATGATAACACGAAAAGGCTCACCAAATAAAAATGTCGCAGTACCACAATTGACCATAAATGTATTACTCACAAAGGTGGATGTCATGCCAGCACAAGCACCTGCTGCAAGTCTTCCTAGAAGAGATAGCTCACTATCTTTGCCCCTAAAGAGTTTCTTCAAAATCAAATTACAAAAGAAGCTTTAAGTTCTGAATACATGGAATGTTATACAAACATTTTCGTAAAGAGGGTTTCACTATTACCTTATAAGCTTCATAAGCAAAAAGCTGGACAGCACTGTAAGGGAGAATCCGTATCACCTAAACAATCAAATGAATTTTCAAAAATTAAATGCAACTCAAGCAAACCCCTTCCGTAGAGCATGGGAAAGTAATATAACAAAATGGGAAGTTTAATCAGCAAAGAACCTGAGGAAGGTTGCCTTTCCAGTACCCTTTAATCCCTTCTTCCTTCCCTATCATTGTTATAGCCTGCAGGGTATGGCCCGACATTAAACATGAGGAGGTGATCATACAGGATAATGTCAAATGCTTCTAAAAGATATGTTAATAATAAAGTAATAAAATTTTGAAAGACCATAAACTATGCAACTCTTGAAAAGATCTTAAATCTACATTATGTAAGCCACAAAACCACAATATGAGAAATTAGCGAGCAGGCAATGGAGCTGAATGCATGACTGTAAGACAAATGCATATAATTTATGAGGTTTTAAAAACTGGGCAGAGCCAGAGGATGGTCCGGACCAACCATAACATACCTCGACAAAACTGATAGCCTTCTTAGCGCTTTGTTGCCCAACTCGCACGCCATGAGTCTGCAAAGATGTGAACATATTTTCGAGTACTGAACATTTCCAATTAAACTACTACTTGATTTAGATCGAAAGCAATAGCGAAGAATACGATTTGCTACTAATATACGGCCCTTAACCACAATGCAATTAACACAATAACAAATCAAATATTGAATTTTTTTTTCCCCGCAATCAGAAATCTTTGCCTTCCTTGCAGCAAAAGCAACCACCCAGAATTACTTTCGAAAATTCCGGAGTAATGTACTTTGTTCTATGCTATTTTCTCAAATCAGCTACTTCCAAAATTCACAAATGCAAATAAAAGTTTTAAATTTTGTAACGAATGCCTTCTTTAATTTTCCAGAAGCAACAAATTTTGAACATTCTATCTGTATTTTCACCGACACCAGAAAGCAAAACGCAAAGGGCGGCACAATCTCTTGCATACGACGCCGTACGGAAGCATATCGAGTAATAAAATTGTGGGAAATGTAAAAAAATTAACGGCAGAGAGAGAGAGAGAGAGAGAGTTAAGAGCACCTGCATAAGAATCTTGATGCGGTCGAGCGGAGCCGTGACGCTCTTAGCGGCGGCTCCAGCGACGGCTCCGGCAGCAAATAGAGCAACGTCTTTGGGCACGCATGCGAGAATAGCCAACGGATGCTTCAACAGCTGAGCCGAAGTCGGCGAAAACTCGTTCCTCTGTTCTCCCCTTTCCGCCACCGAAATGCAGGCGAAATTGAACCGAGTACCACCGCCGCTGCTGAAGCTGAGATGCGCGGTCGTCCACAGCGGTTCGTAGTGGTCCGCGGCGTCGGTGAGGGCGCCGCGGGAGGCGTTGAGGCTCGGGATGCTCCGCCATGATACAATGGCTCTGGAGTCTTCGGCCATGGCGCGGGAATTTTGAAGAAGGGAGGTGGAAGAGTGAAGGGATAAGGCGAAGGAGGCAGTTGCAGAGAGAGAGCAGAGTGCAGGGGAAGGCACACTTTGTTCCGACTCTCAAATCTGTAGAGACAGGCGCGTATATGTTATTTGCTAATTTGGTAAGAAATGCGCGTGTTCTAAAAAGGAGGCGACCTTTGGGGGCCTTGCTCATTTGGTTATATTATGTATAATTGGGCTTTGTATTAAGATGAAGGTTAATCTTATAATGGACTAGTAATAATATGATTTAAATTTGCTTTTGGTGAGAATCAAACTAAGACATTTTACTTACAAGTGAAGAGAAATATCATTATACCATAATGCTAAATGTCAATATACGAGAATGACTTCGATGGACGGAAAATTTTCACCACATGACATATTTCTTCACATAGTAATGTATTGTTGGATTGGAATATTACAATGACTAGGGCAGTTTGCCTTTTTATTTTTTTTATTTGAAAAACTAATTTATATTTTTATTAAAAATTTATTAAAAAGAAAGAAATAAAGCAAAACCATGAAACCTAACCACCCACTAATGCGGGAGTTTTTGTTTTTCTAAAGTTTTAAATTTAAATTCATTAAAAATTAAAACGTGGTAAATTATTTTAATTTTTTTAGTTCAATTGTAATTTTTGAAATTCTTAAAGGACAATTTATAGTATTTTGAATGTTTCACCATTTTGGGGTGCTCAATTATATACATAGACTAGCCTTTTGCCACATGAAAACATGAAACCTAGCCACTCACTAACGTGGGAGTTTTTTTTTTCCCTAAAATTTTAAGTTTAAATTCATTGAAAATTAAAATGTGCTAAATTACTTTAACTCATTTTGGTTCAATTGTAATTTTTGAAATTCTTAAAGGACAATTCAAGGTATTTTGAATGTTTCACCATATTGGGGTGCACTTTATATATATAGAAGATGAACTCATTTCATAAAATTTGAGAAACTTTTTTATGTTATCGCAATACTGTTCTTGATTTAGTTGATAACGTATACTATTTGTGTAGAGTTTAGTAGTTAGTAATGACTAACATGTTGTGTGGTTTAGTCCTTTTTTTGTCAACAGTTTAAGTGGGGTTTTGTGAAGAAGGGAAGAGGGGGTAGGGGAGCCTCGAACTCTAGTGAAGAGGGCCACAAGGGTGCTTGATTTTAGGGTTCTTCATACCTGGATATACCAGGACTCCTGTGCCCCGACTAGACCTGTAAACGGGTCGGGTTTATCAGATTTGGGTCGGGTTCAATCTGACCTGTTAAGTTAACGGGTCATCCGAACCCGACCCGTTTCACTCGTTAACACACGTTAACAATTATTATTATTATTTTTTTTTGCATAGAGTTTATTTTTTGCATAAGGTTAACGGGTTAGGTCCAAAATGCCAGATCTAGCCCCGACCCTTGATTAGATAAAGCTTCCCACCCTATGACCCACAATTAATAATGAGCCTTGCGACGAGGCGTGGAAATTCCCCATGCTACAGTTCCTCCCCCGTTTGTTCCTGAGTTGGGTTGGGGGACATCCGAGCGATTGCCTTCGTAGTTCCAAACGTGATCACAAGATGCACAATAAAAATAGGGGTGTGATATCCACACACCCTTTTTTACTTCTCTCACACTCTTTTAATTTTCGGCCGTCGGACCGGATGAATTAAAGAAGATCAAATGACAGAAATTAACAAGGAGTGTGAGAGAAGTAAAAAGGGGTGTGTGAATAGCACACCCCTAAAAATAAGACCAATAAAGACTTCAAAAGGGACCATTTAAGTTGCAGATCGTAATGCTCCTAGAAAGGCATATGCAGTAGCCCTCCTCAGCTTAGCCCTTCTCTATAGTAGAATACCTTGTGAGTTAAGCCATTAAAAATCGTGTATATGTCTCATATACGTTTAATGACTTATCTCATAAATTATAATAATTTAGAATATCAATCTCGTATAAAAAAATGCTTAATTATTTAATGCTATATAGAAAATATAAACTGATCAATATATTTTGTAGCATGTGGGTTAGTGGCTGTATTAAAAGGATGCACAACATTTTTATATTATGGTGGACAAAAAGGTATATCGGCAATATTTGTATCGTGGTGGACAAAAATTACTCTTGTTAATAGTATAATAATTAATATAGAATCAAAATAACAGATACTTAGATTGAAAAATCAATTAGAACTTACAAATTTTGTCTCACAACCAAAATAGCGAGAGAGATTGAATAATCGAAGAGTATGAACAAATAAAGATATAAATCGAAAAATGAGACGAGTGAGTCAACTTGTGAACTAAAACTTAAGTAAAACCGAGTGGCTATGCTTATCTCTCAGATGAGTCAAATGAGATAAGAAATGGACATAAAATCGTACGTACTCAGTTGCATATAAGTTTCTTTGTTGTTTATTAAACGAGCAAAATGGGTTAAATCTGGACTAAAAACAATGACCTAACCCTTACCTTGTCCTTGAATGAAAAAGGAGTTAGGCGGGCCCAACCTTCTGAAGCCCAAGTACAAAAAATGAGCTGACCTAAATCATGGCACAATGGAATCCATTCAAGAGGCCCAATAGTAACCTTGAGTTCCCACCATAATCTCAAGTCAATGCCTCTAGGGTCAGACTGGTTTTTTTTTTGGATTGAACCCCATGAAACTCTAAGCCATCTTAAGGAATGAACCCCATGAAATTCTAAGGCTTAGGTCAGATTTGGTATTGAGGTGATTTTAAAAAAATTGGGTATGAAAAAAAGTTGGGAGAGTTTTTGGTGTTTGGTAAACACTCCAAATCAGCTTTATTTCAAAGTTTTAGATGGAAAAAAGTTAAAAATGGGAACCTAGAATTTCTGAGGAAATCTTTGTATGAAATCACAGTCTATCTGCTAAAATCCAATCATTTCGGCCTCTCGTTTCAATCACTTTCAAAATCTAAAGCATGCATTGTTTTGGTCCTTTTTGGCAACATATATATACAAGTCGGTTTGTATCCTAGATATTGTTAACTAGGTACAGAAAAGAAATTAAAGTGCTTAAAACAAGCGTTTTCCTTGAATCATACAAGAGTACAAATAAATTACAAAACCCACACCAATCTTGAATTTATTTATTCTTTTATTGGATTACAAATCAAAGAAATGGACCTCTATGCCATATGCCACAACTTTATTCAAAACATGAAATGAAAAATCAGATGATAAAACAATCTGATCATATCGATATGGAGCTATACATGACATATATATTATATAGATATTCTGTAGCCGGTCATCATCAAGCTTCAACAGTGCTACCAATTCGTTTTGGATCCCCAAGCAAAACGAAAATTGTTTGCGTTCAGACAGGCTCCAGAACACAATCCGAAATTGAACTAATATAACAAAGCTGCATCCATCCAGCCAAACCTGCTGATCAAGGCTCAATCTTTTGTAATCGGGAAATAATGACCCCGAAACGCCAAATCTGCTTCAAAACCAATCAGTTGAGTTAATTCATGTGTTAATTAACTTTATAACTTGCTAGCTCGAATGTAAATATTTGCGTTGAAGTATCGTAATGACCTTATTACATTTTAATTAAGCTCCAAGAACTGCTCCAGTGGACGTTTGAAGTCCCGGGTGCAGGATGTTCGATTGATCTAAAGGGAAAAAAAACTCATGTTTTAGGTATGAAGAATTTTAATTGTTACATTAACAAGCAAATTGGGTTGTTAAGTACTTACGAAGTGGAGATTTGATTACGAAGAAGCAGGCTGCAATGATAATGTAGCACAGCAGAAGAACCAATCCCTTCAGGTAGTGGGAACTGCCATCCTATAAAATCAAGGAGAAAGTGAGATAAATGGTTGCTTGCCAATTAATGAAGGAAAGCTGATTAGGTTAAGTTTAGCAATATTAGATTGTTAATTAATTACCTGTAATGTGAAGGCCACAGCAAGTATTGATAAAGCCAAAGAGCCAGTCTCAATGACACTGAAATTGAGATCCATGTTAATTCCCATTATCCAAGCAATGATCACGCACAACGGAACCTGAAAGTTCATTTAAATGGCATTAGAAATTAAACTTGAATCAAATTTGAAAAGAAAAACTAGCATTCTATATTCTTAGTGTATATATACTTACCACAAACATGGCAATTTGAGTTGCAGACCCCAAAGCAACACCAAGAGTTATATCCTGTGTTTATCCGAAAAAATGTACTTTGAGAAAGATTTCCAAATAAATAGTGGCAACAAAAACGTGCTGGAAAGATTAATCTTAATTATGCTTAGAAATGCACTGAGAAACTAATCAATGCGATTGATTGAAGACTCACCAGCTTGTTCTTGAAAGCAAATATGATTGCTCCTGCATGTTCTGCTGCATTGCCAACAATTGGTAGCAAGATTATGCTGATGAAGCTGACCGACAAGCCCCAAGAATCTGCTGCTTCCTGTTGAAAAAAGTTGTGAGAAAGTTTACATTAACATAATAAACAACATAAAGTAACTAATTCAATCATGGTGGTCTGACTTTTACCTCAATTGTTCCCACAACATACTCAGACAACAAGGCAATGACAGCAGTCATCCCAACCAGCCACACAATTCCACTCCAGAACCCTATATCAGGTGTTTCTTCAACAACATCATCATCGTCCGATTCCTGATCATAACACCATAAACAAAATGGCTAGGTTAGTAATTATCAATGCTGCCAAAAATGTCCCGCAAATTTCAGTTTCAAGAGTCTTGCATTACAATATTCTACCCATGCTTGTGGTGGATCTGAACTACACATTCAGGAAAGATTCCGACATATTTTGTGGTCCAAATTGGCAAAAGACATTTTCCCACAATTTCTTTAGTCGAACACCAGATTGTGAGATCACGAAAGGTGCAATTAGATCTATTAACTTAATTAATTAATTACCTCCTGAGCTTCAAATAATTCACGGTGTGTCCACAGCTGGAAAACTATGTACGCAGCGTAAGCTAAGAGCATCACAATGCTGCTGGCTCTGGACAAATGGAGTGTGGGGTCCACTCCCACACCAGTAGAGCTCCCTGTAGCAGCAAACGTGAACAGCATTGGCAGCAAGTGGCACAACACAGCCAGGAGCAGCATGAGGGAGTTCACGTCAGCTTGTCTCTG